CCCCAAAACCCCAAAACCCCAAAACCCCAAAACCCCGAGCTGTTATTGAGCAATTGAATTTCTTATAAATTTATAATGAATTTTCCTTTTCCATTTACTTTGTCACTTTCTTGGAAGATTGCTTTCTCTTCCTTGCTTTCTTCTCTTCAGTACTATCATGGGGTTTGATCGTTTCGTTCTTGGTTGCGGTCTCGGTTTTTCTCTGTCTATATGTCTTTTCAATGTAATCCATTTCTGCTTGAGATACTTTTATGTTATACTCATATTCCTTATCAATATTTTTATCCGATTCGTTCATGAACAAGTTATTACTAAACATCCTATAAATCCACTTAAACTACTCAAAATCATACTTTCCAAAAAAGCATTTCCTATACCCACTAGCCTTCTACACTCTCCCTGCACTATTCCAATCCTCCCACACTAAAAATCCTAATCCCTTCCCAACCAAAACTGGCCACCACCCTCTGTACCTTCTATCCATCCTATTCTGCTGCTTCTCCCTTTCTTCACGTGTAGGACTGACATAAAGTATCTGTTGAATACCAATATCTCCAAAATCCTGATCCTGAGGATTATTATACACAGAATTTCTGAATTTTAAGCCTCTAAAATCTTACTGCAAATGCAGGGCTTCATGCGAATTCGGACTCTTTAACCCTGACAACTGTAAATACGACCCTGTGGCCGGTTCCTGAAGGATCGTCTTAATAGATATATGGTCTAGACACATCCCTAGGTACGACATGTTGGCAAGAATGTTCCTCTGGATATTCTCTGTACAATTATCCCCACTCAGAATTACCTAATTTCTTATGTGCCTTCAGCTCTCCGTACTCGTAGGTTTCAAGCTGGTGTAGAACTCTTGAGATGAAAATCAAGATATTTGAGATCAGCTTCTTCCGTTCTATTAATTTCTCTGGAGGTGATATCTCTTTCATCCGGTGAAAGTTATGAAGATAGACTGATTTAGCCTCAGATTTCTTCTTTCTTGAATTTGTATCTAAGCCTAATTTCTTGTTCTTTAGCTTAGCTATATTTCAAGATTATTCAAAATATTTAACTTGAAACTTAGAAGGACTTACCTAGTAGCTCATTTAGTCGTGCTGATTTCTTGGCAGCTTCAGTTTCAAGCTCCTTACACTGATCAGTTAAACTTCTAACATTAAGCATTTGCTTAGTCACAAAAGAAGAAAGAGTCTGGATATTGAGTTCTTCTTCAGGTATTCCTGCAAACTCAGGATCATTATTAATCTTAGCAACTATATCCTTCGGGAAATTCAACAAGCTTGGAAGATTGTTCTTAGTAAGCTTGCGTTCTAACCTAGAAACTCTTCTCATAGTCTTTTCCTTCTCTATTTGGGCTGCTTTTCGTTTAATAGGCGATTCCAACTCTTCAAAGACAATAGTGGGTTTCTGGCTTTTGATTTGTAATTTCTTACCAATGAGTTTATCTATATACTCGCATACATCAATATCATTCTTAGGCTGCCTCATATACTTAATAGTATCAAATCTTGAGATTCTGTGGGAGAGCTCCTTAGCCTTCATCCGGTACTCCAGAGCTTCCTTATGGTAAAGATTAATTTTGTTAACTTCGGCTACAGGATAAAAATCAGATGTTTACCTTGGTGTTTATTTCCTGCACTGGATCAGTTCATCACTGGTCCCATTTATTTTGATCTTATTTACAGTAAAGGATGAGTTCGTCCCTCTTCAACATATGGTTTAGGGTATCCTGCATCATCTGGATGTTAAACAGCTTTCTATTTTCCAATCTTTACTTTATTCCACAAGTTCTTAGTGAGCAGGTTTGAGGTATCATAGTTATCTTCACTTGAATCTGAAATAGAACATTCTGCATATTCTTCCATAGGAGAATCTACTGGGTTCTGAGTTAGACTAATTAATTCGGACTCTAGATGGATTAGATGTCTCTTCTTCGTCTTCAAGCGATGTATCCGTCCATCTAGGGTGGCTAATTTAGGCTTGTATATTGAGTTTATGGTGTTCAATGCCTCTGCTTGCGTCATAGGAATCCCAAACTTAAGCATATTACGGCTCTTCACTCTTGCAGTCTGAGGAGGACTCAGCCGTGAAATACTTATTTTCTGTGATTCAAATCTTTGCTTAGAAATAGAACCTCCTCCAGATCTTTGTTTCTTATTTTGAGCTGTTCTAGAGGCAAAGAATGCTCTATTAGGGTTATAGTCAGGACTGAATTCATTTAACACCTGTTTAGGTATCATCAAATCTGGAGCAACAGTTTTTAAAAACTTCTGATATTCAGATTTCTTCCTATTATTCCTCCTTCTCATCATTCTCTCAGTATTTGGCTTTGAAATTTTAGTTTGCTTTGGAGAATAAACATCTTCGGCTATATTTGTCCATAATCCCTCACATCAACTTTCTCTCACCCCCTTACTCCCCAGTTCCCTCTCCTCCACTACTTACCTCTATTCATACACCACAACGCCTTATTCTGGCCCATCCCCCTCGTATTCCTCCTTTGACTTCCTTCTTTCCTCATTCTTCAGTTAATGCTATTATAAAAATTATTTTAAATTAAGGGGTTTTGGGGTTTTGGGGTTTTGGGGTTTTGGGG